TTTAAGGAGGAAGTATTATCCAATTTATCTTATAGCATCCTGTTTCAATTATCCCCTCTCGTGGTGAATAATGTGAGGTAATGTGAGTCTCAAAACTGTGTATGAAGGCAGTCAGATATTGGTGAAAAAGTCAGCCACAAAGAATACTGCAAGTTTCTACTACAGTGTTTTTAAAAACTGTGGGTTAATGGATCACTCACATCATCACTAATGTGGCTCATAATGTCAACATTTGCATTACATTACTAGCACCTCTTGTTTCAGCTAACTTGTTTCAGCTGGACTCTCTTGTTTGTTCTGCACAGAAAAGCCTGTCAAGAAATAATGAAATTAGACAGTTGCAAGTGTTGTTCATAGCTGGCAATTAATGAACTAATTAAAAGACTTACCTTTTCATTTATTTATCGAATTAGTGTACAGACATTTGATATCTAGAAAAGCAAAAATGGGATTTAGAATTTTTCTATGCTGCTTGGAGTGGCATAGAAATATCAGTAATACATTTAATTTCTAAAATAAGATTTGTTCAGAGCTACTTTGAAATATAATCATATGGAATGCATTTTGCATAAACTTTCTGTACTGCAAAATTTCCATGTATTGAACTCTGCCTCTAAACAATCACTAAGACTTATTATTGACCTAAGCCCAGATTTTCTCCCTATCCTTTAATGTTGTTTGCAGATCTCAAGGGAGAACAATTTAGGTCAGTGTTTCTTAACCTTGGCAACATTAAGCTGTATGGATTTCAACTCCCAGAATTCCCCAGCCAACAAGGCTGGCTGGGGAATTCTGGGAGTTGAAGTCCACACAGCTTAAAGCTGCGGAGGTTGAGAAACATTGATTTAGATTATGGAAAAAGCAATGAGAAGCCACTCTTCCAAGAGAAGGTTTTCCTGATCTTTAAAGCACTTCAGGAGTACTAGTGCAAAGCAATCATTCTCTTCTTATATGGAAAAAATACTTAATTATACAAGTTAAAATTAACCAAAAATCCCAGCTAGTTTTATAATTCCACATGGCAATGTTTTGCTGCTTAGTATGAATGGATATACTTCAACAAAGTGGAAAGTGGTACCTTGGTTGAACAGCAGAATTCATTATAGCTGTGCACGTTGTTTATAATAGAAGAATGAGAACTGGACAACCAAAAAGATTTCTAATCTGGAAGTGTCTTTGTTTAGTCACACACAGGCTGTTGTAAATTGCAGGCAAATGACCCTGAAGCCATTTTCCTTTCATTATGAAGCAAAGGTTCTGGAACACCTGTGTTCTATTCCTTTATTTAGCTCAGTTTCATCTCCAGAATATCCCAAGGAGAAAGGGTAGGTATCACCCATTAAAAATAAAACCCAGCCCTCACTCAATAAAAGATTGATAGCAGCTACTTTCTGGACAGGGAATCCATGTTCCTCTGCCTCAAATGGGATCCTTCTGATTGAGGCGTGGCTGGAGAGCATGTAACACCACAAGATTTTCCCCATCCTCTTCCTATTAAGGCAGAAGACCTTTTGTTCCTTGGGGGGGAGGGGGGGACCTGTTGTCAGTTCTGTGGCAGGAAGGAGAGAAACTAGAAGTACCATAGTGCATTGGAGCTCGGAAAATGGGTAAAGGTGCTATTATTCCTGACCTCTAAAAAAATCTGGGAAATCCAGGAATGCAGAGGACCCTTTTGTTTCAGCAAATCTATTTGCCTCTAGGAATAGGTAAACAAGTTTAGCTAGAAATCTACACCAGGAATTATGCATTCTGTGATTGTGTGTATAGTGAAGTGACTTACAGTTTATTCCTGGACTATGTAGCCCGATTTACGGTCTCTGGTGATTTGTTCTCTCTATGCAAGCTCAGTTATTTAATGTTTGATGCAGGGCATCCACAGGAGGGAATTTAAAAAAGGCAAGATTGTGACTGCAATCAAGTGATTGAAACTTTGCCCATTTTTAAATGTCATGTGTGCGATACATGTAAAAAAGGAGTAGGGTTTTTTATTGTGTGGTTATGGCCGCTATCCCAGCATTTTTTACTCTCCCTCTCCCATCCTCATCCCTGGTTACCCCCAAATAACACTTTTCCAGTTCAAAGAAGAAACACTTATAGTTCATCCAGAATAAATTTATGTTTAAAATCTAAACAGCTTCTGGGAGGAGGAACTTGTTTTATAATTATGGACGATCACAGGAAAAGCTTTCTTTTGTGCCTTTATTGTTTCAACTTGTGGCACAAAGTATTCTCAATTGACCTTACAACTAGCTCTAACACTAACTCTTTAAGAAGCATTTCTCAGTTTTTTTTGTAACTGGATCACTTCATAAATCAGTATTAACAGGAGATGCAGCGGAAGTTCTGACCCTGCACTTGGAGCCTGTGAGGGTCTGGATGGTACAGTCTGCAACTGAATCCCAAGTAAGATAGGGCTGCTCTTTGTTTAGAAAACTTCTGGTGTCACATATGTAACTGTAACTCTTGAAAAGGCAGCACTTCCCCTGACAGAGGTGGTGCACAATCCAGCGATTCTTCTGGATTTAGCCGAGGAAGGTCAGAAGAGCTTGGTCAGATTAACAGACCTGCCAGTTTCTTGAACCAGGATGCACCAAAAACAGTGACTCATACCTTTGTCATCTCTCAGACTATGGAAGTTTGCTTTATGTGAGGCTCTCCTGAAAAGAAGCTACAGTGGGCACAAAATGTGGTGACCTGCTTATTAGAAAGAATTAGCCAGTTTAGATTTTGTTTTAGATTTTTTAAAATCCCGCCTTTATTATAAATAACTCAAGGTGACAAACATACCTAATACTCCTTCTTCCTCCTATTTTCCCTATAACCCTGTGAGGTGAGTTGGGCTGAGAGAGAGTGACCGGCCCAAAGTCACCCAGCCGGTTTTCATGCCTAAGGCAGGACTAGAACTCAGTCTCCTGGTTTCTAGCCTGATGCCTTAAGCACTAGACCAAACTGGCTCTCTTTAGCATTAGATCTGTTCTGGGAGAGCTGAACTAATTGCCAGCTGACTTCCAGGCTCTGCTCACGGTGCTGGGACCACCTATGAAGCCCTTTATGGCATGGGCCCTTGTTATCTTTGGGACCATCTTCTTCATGTTGAATCTGTCCGACTTACACGGAGAGGATTCTCCAGGTACCCATCCTAAAAGTCAGGCGGTCTGGATCTGGATTTTCTCATTATTAGCACCCCTCCATAGCTCGCTCGTGGAGGTTAGGGTGCCCTTACTCTGCTGATGTGCTTTCCTCTTGGCCCACAGATGGGAGGAAAGTGTATCAGTTTCAAAACCACCATCCCTAGAGCAGTGCTTTTATTGTACTCCTGCAGTGAAGTTGCTAGATCAGAGCACACAGTGCCATGTTCAAACAGCCCCTGCTGTTTTTTGGGGGGGGGGAGGGTGAAGTTGGCCAGATCCCTCGCTTGTGATAGCTAAATTGTTCAGGGAAGGAAGTTTGGCCGTCGGAAGGGAGCTCTGCATCACCAGCTCCCTCCCAAATGGACTGACCAGAACAGCAACGGCCCTCCTGACTGTGGGCGGGGGAGAGAGCCTGGTGAGGTTAATCAAAACTGGCGGCCGACGGAGCCTGAGAGAACCGTGTTCCGCCGCAACTCCACCGCCGAGCCCCCGCCGGGTGGTGGGGGGAACGGGGGGCTCCAGGGCCGGAGCCAGAGCCAGCAGATTACCGGCGCAGAACACGAGACGAGGAGGG